CTCCTCCACTTGAGGTAGGACCTCTCCCCCGACCCGGAGGTGGCAAGCCACCCTTTTCCGGTCGAGAACCATGGTCTCAGATTTGGAGGTGCTGATCCTCATCCCAGCCGCTTCACATTCGGCCGCGAACCTACCCAGCAAGAGCTGAAGGTCAGAGCTGGATGAAGCTAGGAGGACCACATCATCCGCAAAAAGCAGAGACGAGATTCTCCTGCCACCAAACTCGACACACTCCACACCACGGCTGCGTCTAGAAATTCCCCTGTCCATAAAAGTGATGAACAGAACCGGTGACAAAGGGCAGCCCTGGCGGAGTCCAACCCTCACTGGGAACAGGTCCAACTTACTACCGGCTATGCGGACCAAACTCACGCTCCTCTGGTAAAGGGACTGAATGGCCCTTAACAGAAAGCCACCCACCCCATACTCCTGGAGCGTCCCCCACAGGGTGCCCCTGGGGACACGGTCATAAGCCTTCTCCAAATCCACAAAGCACATGTGGATTGGTTGGGCAAACTCCCATGCCCCCTCCATCACCCTTGCAAGGGTATAGAGCAACGGGATTTAGCAAATGATGGTAAATGGCCTGTAATTGATATAGCACCTTCTAGAATCCTGAGGACCCCCCCCCCCAAAAGCCGCTTTACAGCACAATCAGTCATTCACCTGGAATATCGAACTTCGCACCAAATCTCTAAGGGAGAGCTCAGACACCCTGCGGAGAAAACTCATTTCAACCGCTTGTATCTTCAATGTCCTTCTTTTGGTCACTACCCAAAGCTCGTGGCCATAGGTGAGGGTAGAAATGTAGATCAACTGGTTAATCATGAGCTTCGCCTTCTGGCTCAGCTCTCTCTTCACCACAACAGACCAGTACAACGCCCACATCACTGCAGAAACAGCACCAATCTGCTTGTCAATCTCACACTCCAATTTTTCCTCACTCGTGAACCTGACCTCACACTAAAAACCATTGGGTTGTTTTCTCAACCCAAACACTGGGTTGAGAAAACAACCCAATGTTTTTTAGAGAGCTTGAGATACTTGAACTCCTCCACTTGGGGCAGAACCTCATCCCTGTCATGGAGAAGGCATTTTACCCTTTTCTGACTCAAGACCATGGTCTCGGATTTAGAGGATCTAATTCTCTTCCCAGCTGCTTCACACTGGAGATCTACAGGAGATCACGTTATGATGAAGCCAGTGTTACAGGTCCGGTCTAGGGGGGAGACCCACATCAGAAGAAATGTTATGAATAACAGGAGAATTGAGGAGACAACAGGCAGTTAACTGGGTTTGATGCAGCCTTGCTTCATTGCATAATTATTTACAAAATTACATTCCAAAAACATTTCTTCATTTACTCTTCTTTAGTCTTTTTCATAACCAAATATAATTATATCTAACATCCCATCATTTTACAATTACCTTGCAGGTCTCATCAAATTCAGCTGGTCGATTAATATAGTATGTACTGTACGGTCTTTGACTAACACACATATTACCAGGAAATAGTACTTTTATTTCAATGTTCATATGTAACTCTCTACATGGTAAATAAGCTTATTTCAATACTTGAGGTTTAATTGAAAAAATATTTCTATTTACTATTGCTTGGTCTGCTTATCAATCCTCTTTCTACATAGTTTTTCCAATACAGAACCTTAAATAACCAAAAATAACAATATAAATCTAATTATTGTACTGTTACAAAAACATTTTTCAATTAAACTAAGACTTTTACAATTACAATTGAGTCTGAGCTGTTACACTCTTTCAAGTTCAAGTTCAGGTTTAACTTTGTCTTCTAACAGTCAGAATATAAGTGAAGGTGGAGCACCACCATTACAGAACCTCTGTCTGCTTTAGACAACGAGCATAGCTTAAACAGCCTCTTAACGTGGTCTACTTTTATGAAAAACCACCCAAAAATTGGCTATAAAATACCAGAACAATATATGTATGTATATTTTATACATTATTACCTGAATAACAGGAGAAATGAGGAGACAACAGGCAGTTAACTGGGTTTGATGCAGCCTTGCTTCATTGTATGAGGAGAAGCTGCAACGTGTTAACACGTTGGGTGCTGGGTGCCCCCCCCCCCCCCCCCCCCCCCCCCCCCCCACACAACTGCTCATTACACCACCCCTTGGTGGCACACTTCACAGTCACATGCACTTGGAAATTAACCAGAGAAACTGGTTATCCTAAACTATCCTAATTGGGCGTTTATAAAGTCAGCAAAGATGCACAGAAAAGAAGACCAGACACCAGCGAGGGAGGATAAGAAAGACAGACGCAACAACCTTGTAATCCCCTATGTAGCCGGTGTATCAGAGAAACTCAGGAGGGTTTTCTCCAAACACAACATACCAGTGTACTTCAGGCCCAGCAACACACTCAGACAGAAACTGGTTCACCCGAAAGACAAAACTCCCAAACACAAACTGAACAATGTGGTGTATGCTGTACAGTGCAGCAAGGAATGCCCAGACCTCTACATCAGAGAAACCAAACAGCCACTTCACAAGCGCATGGCACAACATAGAAGAGCCACCTCCACGGGACAGGACTCGGCAGTTCATTTGCATCTAAAGGACAAAGGTCACTCTTTCGAGGATGCCAACGTTCACATTTTGGACAGAGAGGACAGATGGTTTGAAAGAGGAGTAGAGGAAGCCATTTATGTCCACTGTGAGCAACCATCTTTGAACAGAGGTGGTGGTTTACGACACCAACTGTCTGCCATCTATAATCCAGTTTTGAGATCCCTTCCCAGATGCCTCAACGCCCACGCATATCCTGGGCCATCTGACCTCAGGAATTCACATGATAGGGTGAGGCCAGGCTTCACAATGAGCTCACCTGAAACGCTGGCTGAATAGGACCCACACCCACCCTCACACCTTGGCTCATGTGTTTATGTAGAAGATCATCGGGGTGTCTTTTGTTCCCTCTTCGGGGGGAAACTCCCACTGGGTTTGAATCTGGGACTCTCCACCATTTGACCTTAGAACTGAAGAAGCCTTGGATGAGAGGCGAAACGTCTTCAAGCAACTCAAAGAAGTCCAGACGCTTTTCTTTCAAAGCTCCTTAGACTACAATGACCTGGATGAGTGAGAACCTTCACAGACATACAACCAGAGAAACTATTAATTCCTGCCAGAACTCTCACCCTGCCCTAACTCAAATGCAGCAACAAAGATATAGGCAAACTTCCATCACAAAAATAAGAAAAAAACAAATGTGACTGAACACCTTGTGCGCGTCACACCAGCAGGACCACATCATCTGCAAAAAGCAGACAGACAGACAACCGGACAAATTTTACACTCATTGCTGTCCATATTAAATTTTAGTCTAAAACATTGAGAACATTAACCCTAACATTAATCGTCCTAAAACGAATTACTTTAATTTGAAAATACATACTTTCAGAAAAGTCACTTTAGGTTTTGCTCCGCCTTCTTTTAAAAATTTCCGTGCAGCAAAAGATTGTGGGTAATACACTTCACATCAGTGTGGACTTGGGCGAAGGGCAGATCAAGGGTGCAAAAAGGGTGTTGTCAATTTCTGCACTTGAGAACTGGACTCCCTGCGCACTGATACTGCTGGACGGGATCGTGCAATTGAAGGGCTCAAGGGTGGAATTGCGCATATCAGGATTGGGCCTTAGACTGATTTAGTCTATTCACCTTTGCAGGTGTTTTGGCTTCATTAGCTGATTATGGTGTGAAACTTTGAGTATAAAATATTTAACCTGTTCACAGTTGTAGGGTTTGGCAAATTGAGTGCTTTAAGAGCTCTCTCTCTATATATATATATTACCTCTACTCATGGCCGATAAGCTGTGATACTCTATCTAAATATAGAATATCAACCCTGCGTGGTCTTTGCGGTGTTTATTCAGAAGATAGGAGTCTTTTTTTATTAGGGGGTTGTGCACACTTCGTTTTAATTCAGAAAAGAGCCAGGTTTATAAAAGTAAGAAGTTATTTTACCAACAATTTGTTGATTGGTCAAACAGTACCTAAAACTGACTACTGCTGGACGTTACATAGTGTTCTGACTGTGTGAGATTTTGAATTTGGGGTTTTCATGAGCTATAAGCCAAAATTATCACAATTATAACAAAGGAAGACTTGAACTGTCTTACTTTGAATGCAATGAGCCTATCTTTAAAACACAAACATGGGTGCTGCTGATTCCAAATGTATATAAAAGTACTTTCTTTTATGTTTTAACATTTCCTCTTGCCTTGTATTTTCTGAAAAACAAAACCACCACCCAAACCACCACCACCACCACCACCAATAACCCTACAGTCATGCTTGCTCTTTTCAGTAATGTCCATCAGTCTGAATTTCACCAAGTCCTATTTCCTCTAAAGTCTGATGAAAACACAGGATACAAAACGGAAGTCCATTACATACTTGAAGTAGTCATTAATAGTCTGCACTCTCTGCAGATTTGACATGTGCCTGTGGACCCATAAAGCCAGTGACCCAGATGGCTACAGGGCTGCGGGAAGCATGGAGTAATTTTGTGTGAATGTCAGCAGCAGTGCGCGCTTCCTCCGTATGTCCATACAGAATCGCACTTCAGGTGAGCAGCTTGCGGTGTGAAAATATGTGCTGTGTGCAGATACGCATATATTCTGTGACCCGAGTTCAGGCCCAGAGGGAGAGGGGAACATGACTGAAGCCAAGCACGCAGAGAGCAGCCGAGTTTGTGCGCAGAAACAGCCTCTGCATGTGGGATTAGATGGAGGCAGGAGGCAGAGAGGAGAATCGGAGAAAGCAGGCTTCTCAGCACTGGTATGTTAACAGCACACCAGGCTTTGTGTGTCCAAGCGTTATCTCGTATGTCTCTCTGCGCGCGCGCGTGTGTGTGTGTGCGTGAGGAGATGGAGCTGCAAGATACTGATTGGTTGTAAGCCCTCATGGGGTGTGGCCAGAATATGAACGCCTGCCATCCTGCCTTTCGCACCGCAAGCTTTTGGGGACAGTGACTGAGGAGGGATGTGGTGTTTCAGAGTGTGCAAGTGGTGGGGAGAGCATCGCAGCTTGTGAGAAAGGGGAGAAAAGAAAAGAAAGGAGGGAGGGGGTTTGGTAGAGAGAAAGAGCTTGTGAAGAGAAAGAGGGAGGGAGCTTCAGGCAGCGAGGCTGGACCACCGCTCAAACACTGCAGTCTTTTTCTTTTGCTTCTCTGAGGAAACCTGCCCAACTCTACTTCCTACTTCTCTCGCTGCGTTGCCATGACCCTGACGGACACCTTGATCTCTTTGCCCACCTAGAGAAGAGGAGAGAAGCGCTGTAGCGGAGGAGGGAGTGACAAGAGGAGGCGACACCACACACTTTGCTTCAGTGATGAGAGTCTGGAAATTAATTAATCGCCGTCAGCACAGAGGGGGGAGACCAGAGAGGGGTACAGTAATAGAATAAGAGAGAGCTGAAGAGGGTGATTTGGTAGATGTGTGAAGAATAGACTGTGAAGAGGCGCAGCGCATCCCCTAGACACTTTTCAGAGGCAAAAAGGACAAGTTAGGGTCGGCGTGTGAAGCACAGAGGAAATTAGTCAAGGCAGTAACTCCACAGGGATTCTAATTCAAGAAGCGAAAGAATGGTCCAATCACAAGCATCCTTTATCCTTTCATCCCTCTCTCCAAACCTCCTCTTACATCCATAACAGCATCTGTACCGCTCATCTTCATGTCTTTTTTATTTTAGCTTCTGCTTTTTGCATGTCAGCAAAAAACACATCCGTTGCCACAATCACACACTCAGAGGCAACTCAGAGCACATCGCAGCATTGCATTCTCACTGGACGTCTCATTCATTACTGAGTAAAGCAAGTTGATTTAGCCAGACCAGGGGTGTCATTACATGCTGGCCGGGAGCAGCTGCTCTGGAACTTCTCATGAGACCAGGTAGGACATTTCTGGATCCTTTTTCGCCTGCTCAGAGCAGCTGGACAGGTTAAGCTCCCCTGTCATTTATCTGATTGAACAGTCATGAGATGAAACTGCAAACCAGCTTATCTCAGAGTGAATGCCATCTATGCGTGAGGGATTACACAGAAGATGACAGGGATGTGCAAATGCATTTATAGATGGTAGAACTGTGTCCTAAACTTGTTTTGTTGTACAGATCTGTTAATGCAAAAATGCAAAGGCTTCTGCTGAGTGTTAGGGCAGAGTAGAGTAGAGATAAGGACTGAGTTGTAGCAGCACGTTGTCTTTAACAGGTCAGGTGTGCCAACACATAGAGTAAAATAAAACCAACAGCTGTAGGGAGTGCCAGGGATCAGGTGTACCTCGAAACCCTTCACCCAGCTCTAGGTGGAGTAAAAGCTTTCCCTTCAGTGTGGACTAATCTCAAAAGTGAAGTGACTATTAAAGACATCAAAGGCTCATTAAGCTTCCACAATGAGACGTTCAAGCACAGATGAGACCCCGTACCGGCGCAGTCCATCTCTGGACAGCAAACCAGACACACCGCCGTTCACGTCAGGGTTTCACCGCTTCAGTGGGGAGTTTGAGTATAAGAGACCTCCTTTTGCATTTGGCTTCCACACAACTAAGGGGCCACAGACCTCCAACGGACGTTACGCACCGGGGAAGAAGTATGTGGTGTTTTACCTGGACCTCTCCTTCATATTTCTTCTAGAACTGCGGCGCTGCAGGATGGCCGAGGGTTGCATGATGGCCCTGCGTTATGGAATGGTCTTCTTCAACCTCCTTTTCTGGGTGAGTTCATTAGCTTTTTTTTCTTATTCAAATGCATTAATAAGTTTTGCAAGGGTCTTGTTTGGTGGAAAAGCGATGCCTCTCTTTCTGAACTTTTTCAGTCTCTGTTATTCTGTCTTTTTCTTCCTCGTCTTGCGTGAGCTGTCTTGCAATCAAAGAGGTGTTAGATGAGAAAAGAGGGGCAGTGTGAGAAAGAAATTGTGCATTTAGATCTTGTGTACAGAGCCCACTGTGTGGGTGAGCAGAGCGTTCCCTGCTCCTGGTATTGTACTTTCAGTGTGGGTGTACTCTGCATTGTTTTCCTTGTTAAGCTTTGGCATATTGGGAGGCTGCGTTGTGCGTAGACTTTAATCACAGTGTTGCCATTGTGCAGGAGTCTTCTCTTGCCTCTACCATTCACTCCTCCCAGTGCAACAGCCCTCCTCAGTCCATCAGTGGATCTGCTGTCAGTCTGCGCTATCTGTTTGATGGTATCTGTTTGCTTCAGGGATGTCGGAGCTCCTCTGTGTCTGCCTCTGTCACTCTCACTCTGATAGCCCTGCAACAGATCACTTTCATTTGCACTGTGACGCCTGTCATTGCCCCCTCGCTGTGCTTCACATTTAAAGATCTTTAGCTTGTGTTCCACCACAAACTCCCACCGTGCAATTATTTGCAACTTGTCACAGAGTTTAAAGTGAACTTCGCCTCTGCGGTTACTTCTGTGGGATTGCTTGATTTGTCAAACGTCTGTTCTCATCACTATGAAATGAGGCCTTGAATGCTGGAATGTAATCCAGCAATTCCCTTCGAGAAATGAGTAACCTCATCACCTAAACATCCTCTACAAACTGCTGCAAAAAGTTGTGCTCTGGTGTTTATTATTAGCACATTTTAAGTCTAGAGCTGCTGGGGATAAATAACGACCACAAACAGCAGTAGTCCCCTCCTATTAGAAAGTCATTAATGTTTGAGTCCTCCAGGTGGAAAAAGAAGATGTCCTCTAAAATCAAAATTGACTCAGAAAATAATGAATCTGAGCTAAAGTGGTTGAATATGTCAAATGGCCCAGATTTTAAATGTCATGGTAATATTCTTGTTTTTCAGATGAGCAATTTGAAAGGTTCTGGATGTAACCTCTGTGTTTTCTGCACAAAGCTGTAGGTGGAGGAGCACATGGAAGAGCTTGACAGATTTCATGAAGTGGTTCGGAATAAAAAGTGCTTGAATTTACTTCACTTCTAGGCGCACACACACACACACACACACACACACACACACACACACACACACACACACACACACACACACACACACACACACACACACACACACACACACACACACACACACACACACGCACGCACGTACTGTATAATGTTAGACCACTGCCTTTACTTTTTCAGCTCATATTGTTTTCCAGATTTTAGGGATAAGAACTAAAAATGTTCTTTTAAATCTAAAAAAGAAAAACTTTAAAGAGACCATGTGTATTTTTACCATTAATCCCTGGAAATATCCATCAAAACATTGTTGAAAAGTTTTTGGCAGCTTCGTAACATAGATGCTGTTTTCAGAGAAGGAGATGAATGTGCTACCAGCAGCAACACATATGCAATAGGTGTGTTTCCACTATGGGAACTTTCCGGCATGCACGTCTCCACTTCACTGGGCTGGCCAAATGGGTTATTTTCTGGGATATCTTCATAAACTTTTGGAGTACCTGAACAGGGGTAGGTGCTAACCCTAGCCCGGTCAAGACGCTGAGTGGAACATTTGGTTAACTCTTATTGGTTGTGGCTCAGTAGGAAATTACATCAGCAGACGCCGTCCAAAACAACTGGCATTAGTAAAACTAGAAGAGTTGCTGGTGAAGCAGAATGGAAATAAGCACCATTCACGCTGTTCTAAAATCGTTGATCATAACCTCCCGATGCCAGACAGAGCTGACCCGAGGCATGCAAACAAAGCAACTGCTTTGGACCCTCACACCACCAGGGGGGCCCCTGGTGCACCAAGATGACCTGAGGAAAAAATATTTTAACAATCTTAAATAATACAAAATAAATAATATTTTGAAACAATGATTTATCTATATAGTGTAATTTGGTTTTATTTTGTAGTGCGGCACATTTTACACATGTTTCTAATTTTTGAACAAAGGAAAGTAAACCTATGTGCAGTATGTGTTTTAAATCCGAGATCATGGTCTTGATTCAGAATAGAGTAGAATGCCTTCTCCAGGTCAGGAATGAGGTCTTGCCTCAAGTGGAGGAGTTTAAGTCTCTCTGGGTCTTGTTCACAAGTGAGGGAAAACTGGGGCGTGAGATCGATAGGCGGATTGGTGCTGCATCTGCAGTGATGCGGGCGTTGTACTGATCTGTCGTTGTGAAGAGAGAGCTGAGCCAGAAGGCAAAGCTCTGTATTTAAAGGTCGATCTACATTCCTATCCTCACCTATGGTCACAAGCTTTGGGTAGTGACCGAATGAATGAGATCGCAGATACAAGCAGCTGAAATGAGTTATCTCCACATGGTGCCTGGGCTCTCCCTTAGAGATAGGGTGAGAAGCTCGGTCATCCAGGAGGGGCTCGGAGTAGACCCGCTGCTCCTCCACATCGAGAAGAGCCAGTTGAGGTGGCTCGGGCAATGCCTTGGGATTCCCCCCGGAAGACCTGGTCCAATTAGCTGGGGAAAGGGAAGTCTGGGAATCTCGGCTTAAATAGTAAATGGCCTGTATTTGATATAGCGCCTTCTAGAGTCCTGGAACCCCCCAAGTTGCTTTACAACACAATCAGTCATTCACCCATTTACACACACATTCACACTGTAACAATTAATAAATATTAATTTTGACCATGAAATATCAACCTGATTGATCTTTGAATGTTTAATCAGAAGATTCTAGGGATCTTTGCTTCTTTAGGGACCATAAACACACTTCGTATTAATTCAGACAGAGACAGTATATAGTTTATAAAATGAATTTAATTCTTTTTCCTAATTTAATGTGATGTGGTGGATGTGAGGTGTTGTGATGGAAGCTAGATGTTGTAGCAACCGTTCTTTGTATCTGAGAGAAATTGTGAAATCTGGGTGTAAAAGAATTTGTTTTTTGGTTCTAACTAGAGTTGGTTATTTAAAAACAGCATCAGACACAATCTGTGGTGCCAAGTCTACGCAACCTTGGTGTGGAGGTTCTCGTTCGATCCGGGGTGTCGTCTGGTCACTGCCGGTAGAGTGAACTCTGATATCAGGAACCCGTAGATAGTTCCAATAAGACCCGTCCAGGCTGAGGTCCCTCCAGGTGAAGGCCAAAAGCTGGAATTCTTATTTGCGTCTAAGGTTGATGTTTGTTTGGCTCTTAGAGAGTCGGTTGTCTGGTATCAGCTGCAGCGTTGCAGAGAGGCTTTGACAGGAGGTCAAAGGAGAAGATAGTTTCAAAAATGCTTCTTTCCTGAATTGGCTGGTTCGAGGGTCAGCTAGAAACTGAATTAATTGGGAAGTAAGTCTTGTTTTATTAAACTACTTTGTTATGATTTCTGGGCAAGTTTGGCCAATCAGAATTTGACACGTTTCTGAGTATTTACCAACGCCCCTCAGAAAGACACGCCTTCCTTCAGATACAAGATTCTTAACACTGTGAATAAGAATCTTTAACCCTATGTGAGGTGTATAAGTGTAAACAATGATTAACTTGTTAAATCAAACACATACTGATTTGTTTATGTTTATGTTTATGTATTTAGCAGACCCTTTTGTCCAAAGCGACTTACAAGTGATAATCGGCATGTTGCCCTTGAGGCTAACAACAACAGTAACAACAACCTGACATCAGTCATGGAGAGGAGGGAACAAGGAGTGGACAATAGAGAGGGGGGACGAATGCAAGGAAGATGCTAGTTAAGAAGATGCTCTCTGAAGAGCAGGGTCTTCAGGAGTTTCTTGAAAATTGAAAAGGAAACTGCTGTTCTGGTAGTGCTTGGAAGGTCATTCCACATTTGTTGAACGGTGCATGAGAAGAGTCTGGATTGTCCTGAGCGTGGTGTAGGCACTGCTACGATCCTGTGATGACCAAAGCGGCCGGGCCGAGACGTAAGCTTTTGCAAGAGGATTCAGGTAGATGGGAGCCGAACCAACTCGGACTTTGTATGCTAGTGTTAGCCATTTGAATTTGATGCGTGCTGCTAGCGGTAGCCAGTGGAACTCAATGAACGGAGGGGTGACGTGTGCTCTTTTTGGCTGATTGAAGACCACATGCGCCGCTGCGTTCTGGACCATTTGAAGAGGTCTCGCAGTACAGGCTGGAAGACCAGTTAGAAGGGCATTGCAGTAATCGAGGCGGGAGATGACAGTAGATTGCACCAGGAGCTGGGGGGCGTGTTGTGTTAGGTATGGTCTGATCTTTCGTATGTTATACAGCGCAAAGCGGCATGAACGAGCAACAGAGGCAACATGGTCTTTAAAGTTCAGGTGTTCATCAATCACAACACCCAGATTTCGAACTGCCTTTGAAGGAGCCAGAGATAGGAAGTCATTTTGGATTGAGATATTGTGCTGTATGGATGGTTTTGCTGGCATGACAAGTAGTTCAGTTTTAGAGAGGTTGAGTTGGAGATGGTGGGATTTCATCCATTTTGATATGTCAGAGAGACAGTTTGATATTCGTGCAGAGACAGTGTGGTCGTCCGGTGGAAATAACAGATAGAGCTGGGTGTCGTCTGCATAGCAGTGGTAGGAGAAGCCATGTGATCGAATGATCTCACCCAGTGAGGTGGTGTATATATGGCAACGAGAAGAGGTCCTAGTACAGAGCCCTGGGGGACTTCTGTGGCAAGATGGTGCATGGTAGAGGATTGTCCAAGCCGAGATACACTGAATGATCGTCCTTTGAGGTATGATTCAAACCAGGCATGTGCTTTCTCTGTGATGCCCATGGTAGAGAGTGTGGACAAAGGGAAGCCATTGTTGACAGTGTCAAATGCAGCCGATAAGTCAAGCAGGATAAGCACTGAGGATTTG